TCATCTAGGCAGTCTTAGATATTTTTTGAAGGATGCTATAAGATGCATCAAACTTGTTATCCTGCCCCATGCCCTACGCTAAAATTATATTTATTCTAATGTCCTTATATACTTATGTAAGTATCCTGTTACTTCAGTTTCGTATGAAGAATTGTTGAAACTTCACAATTTCGAAATTATTATTCGCCTTTTATTAAAATAATTCAGTGGTAGCCAGTTAATTTATGGTCTAGAACAAATATGTACAAAACTGTTTTCCAAATATCGTATTCAGTTCGTGTTAAATGCAAATTCTGGAGTGATTTTACAATGCAGATAGTAGATGTAAACGAAGAAAAAAGTCCCGAATCTCTTTCGATAAACAAGAGTATAGCCATGCAGTAAACACCGCTCCAAGATTGATGTAAATGGCTTGGGAGAGTTTCTCGTAACACAGGCTACAGCCGTTTATACCCAGTCGTAAATATGAATTGAAGTATCCTCTTGTCCAGTCGTAAAAGATACTTCCAATACAAAGGATCCTCGCCCAGTTACGCCTCCGGCGATTGTTTAGTCAGATAGCCGCAACTCTGGTAAAAGTGCTTGCGTAAAGGTTGTTGGAGTTTAATTGCGGGCGATTTATGTGCCAAGAATATCGTTTCGGAGTTAGAGCTGTAAATTTCAAAGGAGAAGCTTTGTTTAGTCCTTAAACATTCTTGTTCTTGTTCCTACAAAATGCATACAGCGTGTTTTTCTTTCCTTGTACGTTCGCTAAAACTAGTTGCTTAAAGTACTGTTCTGAACTTAATGTACCTTAAAGTGTAACACATCTTAGGTATGCTACATGGCTTCAAAAAGTATTGTTACAGTTAGGCTATTACAAGAATTATTTATTAAAGTAGGATATGATTACCCAGTCGAAAAGGTATTATGGTTATTATAAAGTAAGTTTCGAGTAATAATTTTTAATATTATGCATAAGTTTGATAACCCTTTTTAATAAGGTAACTAAACCATATACTTTTTTCTTTCTTTGTTTTGAGTAAAACGTGCTAGTAATTTCAGTTGTGTTTATACAAATAACGTATTTTTATTGTATTTAGAATTTTTCATTTTTAACATTATAATTTAAACACTAAACCTTTATTACCACTCGACGAAGTGCATGTCCCACAGTCATGTAATATTAGTTGGCAAAACGTCAGAACAATCATACCTGCAGAAATCAATAAATGTTTGAGGAGTGTGTTAAATGTACGTCTCTATATGGATATTTACGTACATTTTGAAATATTACAATACGAAGGAGCAAATCAAAGTATTTGGAGTACATCGCACTTCCAGCAAAAAAAAAGACCAACTATTTATAAAGGAATCTTATAATGAAATTATCTCATCTGCGGAAAGTACTTATTTTGAACAGCATGAAAACTTTCATCACATGATTTCTTGATAGAAATTTTTGCAACGCAGAGATACACGGAAAATGTGTTCTAAGCCTATCATTTAACGATATCCAAAACAATGCATCAAGCTCTTGATATTGAATAAATTATTATTTTCGCCTCTGTCTCACTTCTAGTAAAAAATATAAATATATCGTTACACTAAATGAATTATCGATTTATGTATCAAACTGACGATAGCTAAACATTTTTCTGGAAACCACGTGGACATAAAGCTTTCAAAAATTGTTTTGTCTCCGAAAATCGGAGAAAAATTTTGAAAATATGTTTAAAGCTGCAGCAAAATTTGCTGTAACTACAAACTCGGAAAAATTAACTATAAGTTTAGAAAAGTCGCAAACTTAAATTTGGATCAAAAGCAAAAATTAATTACTTTTATCATCAAACTAATATCATGCAGCCAATAATTGGTGTAATATCTTTGCATTTTCATGACTTGCTTCAGCGTGCTAAGGTCTCTTGTCAGTGGAACAGATTTCGAAAGATTTAACAAAAAAAATCAAGCAAAATATTGTTTCTTCCATATAAAGCATTATTAATTTTCGAGATGTGTATTCAATTGACTTTTGCAACGTTTTCTTCTTGAAAGGTATCGAGAGACAGCATCTGAAAAATCTTCACGAAAATTATTTTTAGGTGTGTAAATCTGATTTTAAGATTATAGTTTTTATTTTGAAAACTTTCATGTAGAACGATTTACGATATTAGGCTATTTTTGGCCTTTCAGATTACACACGTTAGTCATTACAAATATGGTTTTAATCGAATGCAGAAGAACTATTGTTTACTATAGCATCTTAACCAAATTTAAATCTTTCATCATCTTCACCAGACTTCGGGTGCTATTCAAACACCCATTACATGAGGAAACAGCGAAAATTCTTGCAACTGGTCAAAATAGATAGCTTGTGTGGAATTAAGTACGATCAGTCATTCAACGGAGCATAAAAACAAGTAAATCATTAATCTGTAGAAATTACTTTTGAAATAACGATGGCAATTTCTAATTTTAAGTAAAAATGGGAGGTGCATAACTAAATGTTACAGCAGTCTCATATACCAAATTTCAACGCTCTATGCTTAATCACTTTTGAGTTATACTAAATACATATATACAAACGTACGTACAGACATTATGAAAAAAATCTAATGACACCACATGACTTCCTTGTACGGAATATTAAATTATGCGTATTTTTTGTTGCATTTAATTTAAATTTATTTCCTAGACTTTTATCAGAGATAGCTTTCTTATTCATTTAATTCAGTAATTTTTTTCGCGGTAATGCAAAAATGCATAAATCCTCAAAATATCTTCATTAAAAACTTAAAAATATGGAAAAAAACAATACACCCAATTTAGTTAAAATAATTTTAAAAACAATTTTTACAATTAAAATTAAAATTTCTACAAAAAAACAAGCAATTCGGCCAGCAGACAACAAGGCAGATTTGCACAAAACTGAAAGCTACGTTTGGTCTAAATCGGCAAAAATATACTGAAGTTGGTGTAAAAACTAATTTAATTCTGTGTTCTGCTAACTTTCAAATCTAAACAAATATAGCTGCTATGGTAAACAAAAATTATACTTAGCCGCACTTAAGCAACTTTTAAATTGTTGTTAATTCTACAACTATTTCATGCACATTAACTAAAGGCACAAATGCCTTAATCGGAAAATAACATAATTCAATCATTTTTAAAGCAAAACGTGCACAATTTACCAATATGTATAAAAGCATAAAAAATGAGCTCACTCAGGGTATATAAATATATATATTTATATACTTTTGGTAACCAGAAAAGGAGGTGCACAACTACATCTTATAGCAGTCCCATACACAAAATTTGAGCGTTCTGAGGCTACTCTGAGTTATGCTTGATTCATACATACATACATATGTACAGACTCCACGATAAAAATCTCTTCTGAATTCATTTTAAATCAATTTTATAAACCGTTTGGGGAAAAAGAGTCCTTTATTTTGTCCTTACGTAGAGATGTCGCACGAAAACATCGTTAAATTGCTTTCGATAGCGGTCAAAATGGATATTTTCTTCTAAAATAGGACACCCGGAATTTTTCGTGATTACATTACTTCCTTTACTTCGTACAAGAAAGTAAAACGACTTTAAAATCACTCGCAAGGAATTTTGAAAAATAGTATTTTTAATGTTAAACGGCATGTGAGTGCTAACTATAAGTATGCAATCAGTTACATCTGATTAAGCTTATAGTCAACTGATAAAGGCTGCAATTTAAATATTCAATTCTAAATTGTTTTTATTTTAAAAATTTGGCATTGTGAAAACATTTTTATTTTTCGGTCCCTTTTGCTGCATTTTCATTCGCCGTAACTATATTACGTGACTGAAATCAGTATTGTATTAATTTATGTATTGAAAGATGGGTGAATAAAATATACCGTGAATGTCATATTTTTCCAGAGTAGTAATATTTTTAATTTTTGATTATACCCAAATAATTTTCAAGAGGTACTGTTTCTTATAAGTTTTCTAATATGTGATACAAAAATATAACAAGGTTATCCTGGCGCTAAATATACAAAATTACTGTGAATGGGTTCGTTTTAATTTCCTAATTCGTTTTTTATAAATTACTCCTCTATCAAGCCTCGTTTCATTCCACTGCTAAAATGTCCATTTCCAGCGCGCGCAATATTCAAATTAGGTAGAAAGAAAGAATTACTTAAAGGAAGGTTTGGAGGGTAAAGTGAGACCGTGTTCTGGTTGTCTGAAGGCCTTGTTGCTAACTTTGATCTTCTAGCGATTAGAATTCTGCGGCGTTGAGTTATTCTTGCCAATTAGGCTTGTTCATGACGAATTCGATCAGAGTCAGCTTGCGCGCTATTAAAAACTGCGAAGCCGTTAGCCTATACTTAACCTTCTTCATTTTCTTTGATTTAAGCCAAAATTGTTGGCTTATGTAAGCATGAGTCGGGACGTTTTTTGAATTAATAAATGGTTCTTCAGACCCCTTCCCTATCTCTGTGGTATTTATAAGACTTGGTAAAACGTCAATAGCTCTCTTTTAGACTTTTAGTCTTAACTATATGTTTCCGAAGAAGACCAGATGATATAACTACATAATTTATCTATAGCAGAAAACAATGCAATGCATTTTATCAAGTACTAAATCATCCTATTGGGAAACAACTCAATTTTCATGTTATACTCTAGTTCTGTTTTTAGGGTAAACGTTAATATCTTGCATTGCAGGGAACTTAAAACCTTATCACTTTAAGCTGATAATATTTTTATAAAATTAAATTCTGATTATCAATGTGTAGATTATTATTAATCTTAGATGATTAATCTTAAATGTATTCCTACTAGACAGATACCATAAAAAGTGCTTTACAGTTTTTGATAATCATGTCTTTAGACAGATACCATAAAAAGTGCTTTACAGTTTTTCATAATCATATCTTATCAATCTACATTTTAATTCATTGTTGGCTTTTCATAAAGTGTGAAAGTGTTGTGTTTGTTTTAATACAAATTGAATTTTCTATGCTTTCCTAACAACTCAGGACCTCTTGGACAGAGAACAGGTACAGTTAAATTGTATAATATAATGTATATTATGATATATTTTATAATCAAGATAAGAAATATTTTTAAAGAAGTCTAAATTTTATTTTCATTTTTAGAAGTGATCTCTCAAAAAATATCGTATTTTTAAAATTTCTGTGTAACCTTTATTGCCTGTGTGTCTTTTGTGCATGGCGTGTGTGCATATGTATCGTACCTGCTCAGATTAATGCAATAAATTGAACTATTTTTGAATATTTTACGAAAATATCGCAAATCTCTATTTCTTATGACTTAACAATGCTTAATGTACAGCTTTGCAATATACATATTCGAGAATATAATCTTTACGCAGTTATTGAAAAGATACTGATATTTTGATTTGAAGATTTCTTTTAATAGTTTATAGTTCTTTTGCAGTTAAAATCTTACAATTGCAAAAGTATTCGACTATCACTGCATAGGATCACAGAGTCTCCTAAAAATACTTTTAGCGTATCTCCAAAATTTCTTTACGATCCTTTTTAAAATTGAACTCCCATAAATCTTTTCAGAATGCCGCTCGCAAATGTGTTTTTGAGAAAAAAAAATGTCCTAAACTTTCTTGCTCCTGGAAGGGGCGTTAAATGTTCCCAGAGACGTTAGAATTGCAGCAACACCGATACTGAGACATGGGCAGAATCTTTTTTATCGCCGCAAAACACATTTAGTTTTGGAATTTCAAACTTAAACGTCCCAGCAGATCACATTTAAAACTAAGCGAGCTCACTCTTGTTGTTTTTATTTTTCTCTCCTAGCCTCTCAGCGCATTTGTTGTGAACGCACCACTCAGCTTGTGATCTACGGCTGCTATCGGAACCCATTCTAGGACAACCTCCCCAAACATCCCTTTTCTTCCTATTTTGACGATTCCAGAGATCACACGCACTAGCCCTTAACAGGAACCACCAGCAGTGATGCCGAACAAACAGAACTGAGAAACAGAGCAATCTCGCCAGTCCCTTTCTTTAAACCTTTCTTGTTTTTTCTTCACCGGCCATTATATTCGGATCATTTTCTCTATTACTGACCTTATTCTTTCTTTCAAGGTTGTTTTTCCCGCTGTGTTTTTATTTCTTGAATGGTTTTTCTGGGTTCAGCATTGTCGGCTGGGGAGCCGTAAGGCAACGGAAATTGCCTAGATCGTACCCAGCTCCGATTTTTTTTCTTCACCTCCAGAGGAAGGATAAAATAAAAGAAAAATTCAGAACCCTTCTCTTTCTGTACGCACCGTAAGAGCTGGGATTGCTTTTATTTGTTTACTTTTCTTTGTGGCAAAACGAAACAGCCGGCAGCAAATCATGGCCGCGCATAGAATGCACTGGGAAACGAAGGACCGTTTGTGAACCAAAAAATGCAAGTTTCCGATCACTGATTAGGTTTTTTTTTTTGTGTGTTATTACACATTAGAAGCTTACTTTTATCTGACACCAATAATTAAACTGTTCATTAGCTTTAACACTGTCCTCAACTTGAATTTTTCAGTGTTGCTCCTTTATAGACTTTAAAATTTCAAAATGTTAATTTTAAATGTCAGAATAATTTTTAAAGGACGTATTCTTGAGCAAAATTAAAATCCTAGCAGAGTAAGGATTTACGGTGCCTATTATATGCACTTAAATTAATAATAGAAATAAATATATTTATTTAACATATAAAATATAATAGCGGACATAATAAATGTAAAATAAATACACAAATTTATACGACTGTAAAACAAGAGTAAGAAAATCCATACTGACAGTAAATAAATTTATTAAATAAAAATTTTAAATGCGTTATACGTTTTAAATGTATGATATGAATTCGACCTCAGCTCTATTAAGTAGTTGTCTTTAAAACAAAGGATTTTTGAAGTAGATACAACTAGTGACGCTCAGCATTCTTTTAAGATAAATGATTTAAATTATGTAGTGAATATCTGACAAATAAGTACTGTATTTTATCTCTAGTATTTTAGCTCCAGATTCTGAAAATTTTAAAAGTATTTGCATGATTTTCTCTTTATCATTTCATTCAAAGAATAAGCTTCCTAAATTTTAAAATGGATTCGTCCACGTAGTGATTTTTTTTTATATTACTAACAAAGACAAATCCTCGAAACTTCCTGCGAAGTTCACAGCCAGCCTTTCTCTTCTAACTGTTGAACTTTAATTCAGCATTTCCAATAAGCTGCCCGTAGTAAGTACAATGTTTCGGATACTGACTTTCCAAGTTTCATACAAAACGTTATCTTCTAACATTGTGTGAGACTAGACACAAAAACTAATACGCAGACGCAATATTACTAATAAACAGATTGATGCAGAGCTTAAGAAGGTCGGACTGTGGGCCAGGAATGTGAAGGGTTTTCTGCTCTACCTATCTCGATTCCCACTTTCTTTTGTCCCTTTTGCTTTCCATTGAGAAAGAAAAATCATGCTTATCACTTTGGAATAGACCTAGTATGTTTCAAGATTTACCGGTGTGGCATATTTTAGATTTTGATATGGCTAAATAACTTATCAATTTGCATTTTATTGTAATGCAGCCATTATATCGATACGAATTTCATGTTTTAAATTGATTGCTACATTTAATTGATTAAAACGTTCTTAAGCTAAAGGTAGCTTGAGCGCATTTCCTTAATTAAAATTTCGGAACTAAAGACCCAATTGATGGATGAGCCTTTCAGTTTCTTAACAATGGAGATCGGTGCAAAATAAAACTAAGCAAGGATTTCTCCACTTCAGTTTTGTCTTGATCCCTTCTTTTTAGAAACGTCTTGTATTCTGCGACAGAATTTTTTTTTATCTTACCCTCCCGATTTTGCTTAAAATAGCTCTACGAAGGTAGAAAAGGAAGGGGACGAAGCGCTCTTAACTCGGCGATAAATTTTACGAAAGTGTTACTTAAAAGGCGCGTTCTGCCACTCGGAACGACTCTTGTTATTGGAACACACGGCGCGCTGGGGAAAAGGAAGACATTCTGAAATGCAAAAAAAATGTGTAAATGTTGAAGAAAAAATTCTAGCAGTAGCTTTTGTTTCTTCAGATGTAATGATGAGACATGCATGTTTAAATATTCGATAGCCCTTCTTTTATTTTCTTTTTTTCATTTGTTTTTCACTTTTAAAAATTCCACTTCTGTTGTTAAATTTTGAAACACACTTTGAGCTGTCAAACTCTGAAATATGATTTAAATTTGAGAATTATGGAATTATGGTAAAGCTATCTGCCTAAGAGAAGGATGTGATCTTGGAGGACTTTCTAAGGGAAACAGGGTCATACTTACATCACACATAGAATTTGAGTATGAAACACAAACAAAAATTTTCGAAATAATAAATTTAAAATCGATGTATAATTAATATCCTGAGCTTCTAATGAAATAATTTTGAAGTTTCTTAATGTTCTAATTATCAGGCTTAATGTGAAATTAAAAATATAAAATGTCTTAAGTACAGCCATAAAAGTATCGGCTTTTATGGCTTCTAATTATCAGACTTAATGTAACTTAAGAAAAAATATATATTATTTATGTTCTTTTTGTTATGCACGTATATCCGAAAATTATAGTTTATAATAGTATTGTTATTTTTAATGTTATACTTTTGGAAAAGACATTTTTAAAATTTAATGGTTAGCTTTTTCAGATTTGTAACTTTTTTCATTATCATACTGAATTATTAGGTAATATTCCATGTCAGTTTCAGAACTGTAAAGCATTAAAGATATAAATTCTGTAAAAGTGAACTTACTGGTTTCCTTATTTTGAAGAAATTAAATAAAATTAAACTTTATCTAATTTTCAGTTTTATTAATTAAATGAATTGTTTATATTGAATTGTTGTTTAACAGAATCTTAATCTTCGAATGTGCTTTACTGCTTACTTTTAAAAATCATGCTATACGATGCTTTTGTTATGAATATGAATGTAAGGTTGTAAATTTATCTAATTTGTATAGACGGAGATCTGTACGTAGCAACCGTGGCGCAGTTTTCTGGAGCCGATCCTCTCATCTACAGAGAACCGTTAAGAACAGAGCAATTCAATTTTGAGCATCTAAACGGTATGTAAATTGTATTATTTTTAGTTATTCGTTAATTTTTTTGTATTAACAGACTATTAAAAGTCCAAGATGAAGTAAACTATTTCTAAGATTAAATAGAAATATTTAAATTTAAGAAACATTTCATTTCAGATTTATGCCTCGTACAAATACATTTTATATTCTGTAACAAAACTTTCTGTAACTTTTCCTAAAAAGATTTTAAAATTCTTTGGAAAAACTATCATTTTGAGCTTTTTTCTGTCAAGGGAAATATTATGTTACATCTGTGTCACTGAAAAATCTGACTTTTTCAAACTTATTAATGCCATTTTATTCTGATATTCTGATATATGGATAACTTTAAATAGTAAAGTAATATTTGGCATTTGAATTAAGGGTTTTTCTGTATTACCCATGAAAACAATAATTTATGACAACTAGCTGCTGCGAAAATAAAAGGCATTATACAATTGTATTATTGCAGACTTTATTCCTAATCAGGCGTCTATATTTGAAAATAAATTTAATTTTATTTATAGAAACTTGCTAGTTGTCTTTTATTTCATCGCGTTGGATAATTTCATACAAATTTGTAATATCAGTTTTTTTTTCAATGGCGGGAGCTTTTCTATTCCGGCATTGGCCACTCCTAAGTGGCCACTCCCTTAGGCCTACGCCAGCATTGGCCACTTCCTAAAACCAGATGTGGTGATCTCTTTACTATGGAGGCACCTAATAGATGGGACACCTTTGCCTCTTATGAAGGGACAAACAATTTACATCCATGCCTTCTCCGGGATTCAAACCCGGGCCCTTCAGTTTCGCAGTCAGCTCCCCTAACCACTATACCGTCTGACGGCTATAATATCATCCTTATCATGCCAAAATAACGTAAGTTTTAATTTTGTGCTTCTTTGTTTAATCTTTATTTTTATCTTAAGTTATTTATCGAAATTTTACCGTATGCGCGTCACAAAAGTACAGCGATATTCATATCACTAGGAAAAAATAAATTTATACCTCAAAAAATTGTACAGATTTTTTCTGAAACAATGATTTTGAAGATTCGTTTATTTGGCATGACGTCGATGGTACATAATTGAAATATAAAGCTAGTTCACACATTTCTGCTCAGAATAATTATAATTTTCTGTAAAGTAATATAACTCCAAAGATAAACAACTGTCATGAGCAGCATTTTAAAACCTCATTAAAATTATTTTATGCATATTATTCAAATTAATAATTACTAAAGAACAGCTCATTTTGTTAATAAACAGAATAACTGACATATCTTAACGAATATTGTAAGACACTTAAGTTTATTAACAGTTGACTACATCAGTTTTAACATTTAATCACAAGTGCTTTGCAAATTGCAAATCAAACAATAGCTCAAATGCGAATTTAAATGACTTTGAATGATGAGGAATGATAAGAATCTTTTGAATTTCGCTTTCAATGTTTATCTTTGTAGAAAATGTTCAGCCACACAATTAATATTAACATAATATTCGTCTAAGAGCAAGTCGTAATTAATGAGACGTAAGAAATCAATTTGGCATTAGTTTGCCTGTAAAGTGTGCGTTTTTGCAAACATAGATTGCTTGGGTGAAAAACAACTAGCTGGCGTTGACAGTGAAATGAGCGATGTACTTCCTAAAGAATACTTCTTTTCAGATATTCATTAAAAGTGTTGATTTCTTTAAACGTAATTACTTTTAATAAGTTCTCTCATAAATATCTGGAGTAGTAATTAATCACTAAGCTTATTTATTATTTTCTTTTATTATTCGTTTTATTATTCTTAGGTTTACTTTAAAGAATAAGCTGAGAATAAGACCAAAACACTGAAATTAGCAAGGCAAAATTGCTTGTTACAAATCGCAGAGCAATAAAATATCATTCTGTTTGAAAATAATTAAGAATTGTATTTTAACTCTTGTTATAACTTAGCAATTAAACAATCAACTAAGTCGATTTATTTTTAAATAAGAAACTGCTTAAAACCGTTCTTTTTCATATTAAAGTTAGAATCTTAACGGAAATATATCTTTTCTCGAGATTCTTTCCAATTTAATGACCTGAATATGGAAATAACTTTGAATTTAGAGTAAAATAATTAAGGAGTTAATTAAATTTTAATTTAAATTTCAACTATGTTATCCTATATTTTTTATACTATGCTAGAAATTCAGCAAGTAATCGTGATTTAACCTTTGCCATTAGAGATGAGCATGCCTAATAATTAATGTATTGATCACATAAGTTTAGTAAAAAATAACTTACGGTATAGTATGTATTTATATGGCTGCTGTATATATATAATGGTTTATAATTATAAAAGCTTTTTTTTTTTTACAAAGCTACAAATCGCAATAGCACTTAGAATTAAATTTTTCGTTCAGATGATTAATAAACTTCTTAACTTTATTCATATGTTGCATAATATGTTAATTAATAATAGCAAAGTAATAGAAGGCTATTTTTCTAGAAAAAATGAGTTTAAGACGTAATTCGTGTAAGAAATGTGTTCGTATTTATGCTTGACTTTGGAAAACAATAGAAAACCAGCCATATAAGTAATCCTTTTTAGAAACAAAAACATGCATGCTCTTTCTCCACGTCAAAAATACCTACACACAGTGATTTCTGCCATAAAACTAGCATGCAAATGTATCTTTCTCTTCCAAAAAATATCTATTTAAGTAGATCTTTCTGCCGAAGAATACAAGACAGTATGCCGGAAACCAGTATACGCACGGAATACGGAATATCAATATTTCAAACTTTGCAACGTAACTTCAATAAAACTTATTTCATTACTTCGACTCTGTTGTATCTCTATAATCATTGACTACTTGAGTTACGATCTTTATATAATTTTACAAAAATTTAAAAAAGACTCCTTTCATTTCCAGAAATACAAATTTTTCTTAAATAAATAGTTATTACTTATTTTTTAGGTGGCCGTAAATCAGTGATAGCAGCTTTAGTATCTATCTGTCTATCCAGATAGGTAAATAGATAGATCTATATAATTTGATAATTTGTTGTAACTCCTCAAGAGAAGAAAGAGAGAAGAAAACTAATACTTTATAAATAATTATAAATTAATATTAACAGAAGGAAACTAAATATTTTATTTCGTACTAAGACACTTTTACTAATTTAGACGCCTTACACGAATTACTCATAAAATAATGTGTAGATAGGTAGACAGGTATCGAAGCTGACATTACCCATTTACGGCCACCTGAACAATAAGTAATAACTTATTTTAGCAAGAATTTGTATTTTTGGAATTAAACAAGTTCTTTTTTAATTTTGGGTTAGAATTTCATTATTAACCCCCCAAAAAATGAAAAAAAAAAAAAAAGGTTTTTTGGGGGGTATTTCGCTTTCATTTGTCAATATTCTTCCTTCTTGGTGCTTTGGTCGCCCCTTAAACTAACAAGTTTCTAAAGTAAACTAAATAAATTAATTAAAATTAAAGACACATTATTTCTAAGGAATTAATTAAACGCATGAATGTATGTGCATAAATAGATACAAATTAATAAAATAAATAATAATTAAATTAAAAATTAAATTAATAAAGGTGAAAGAAATTCATCCAAATTTACTCTGAAAGAAATATTAGTGATAAAATATATCCACAAATATACAAATAAACAAACACATATTTACTTCTGTTTAAAATAATACCGGAATGAATCATTCATGTTGTGGTAAAGCAGTTCGAAATGTTTACACGCAAAAAGTTGCGAAAGCTTTTACGAATAAATAAAAAAATGGCTGAAACATTTACATCAACATTTACAAAATAGTATGTGAAACATTCAGCGCAACTGAAGATAATTAAATTTTCATGTTCTTTATTAGTTATTCACGTAAGAATGCTTTTTTTTCTGTACCGAAGCAAAATTTGAACATCGTAACAAAATGAATGTTTAACGGGATTTGAAATTTATCATTTTTTAAAATTCTTTCCCTCTTGTGATATTTCCCATCTTCTTCTTGCTGAGATATTCCTTTTGCATGAAGAAAAATAAAATATGGTTTTGTTAAATTAATATTAAAACTGTTAATTGCAGAGAGAATATGAGTCACGTTATCACGTTTAATTTAAATGGAAATTTCTGATACTGCTCACTTTTTATAGTAAAGCTTTTTTTTTCTCCCGAAAACATCATGTACCATAATTTAGTTTCTTTAAATATTTAGAGCTCACACTCAGCTATTATAGCATTTCGAAATTAATTTAAAAACTGAAATACAAATACTTTGGAATGCCATTTTTCGTTCTCTTTCGGAATGTACCACCCAAAAAATTACTTATTTATTTATAAAATCAACTTAACTCTTTCAGTGATACCGTTCACTCGAAAAACTAAACATAGTCTTTTATAACAAATATCTATGCTCATATCTCCGGAAACTGTTTGGCTGCATGAGAGTTTTCGTGATTTTCCCAAAATATAGTGCAAATAGGAGCGAAATTCAATTAAAGGACTTTCACGATGGCATTCCTTCTTCTCAGCAGATAACCGTCTTATGCTTTTCTAGATTTTCAAGCAATCAGGTCCAATCCACCTTGTTCACTAGTTTAAGTTTGCTAACTTAAATCATCTAGAAGAAGATGCTGCCTGTTTAGACAACCGCAGCAACTTATTTCCAAACTTAAAAACGAGATTTCAACAGATTATAGAGTTTGTGCGGATGTTTTTAACACCGTAGTCTAACTTACGTCATTAATTTGAAGAATACAAAGATGATTTCTTATGGGAATTTCAACAAGATTGCTTTTTCAAAGACAGAAATGCATGAATATAGTATTATATGCCTGGGTATTTATAAGAACAATCTATAATAATAAATGTATATATCCATGCTCAAGTCAGACCAATATGAAATAATATAAATGGAATACATGTGATTTGGGGAAGTTGAAGTAATAATATGTATAAATAATAAAAATAATAAATATGTATTTTAAGTATGCTAATAAAATATGT